GAGAGAGAGGGGGGAGAGAGATGATAATATTAAAATTGATTGAAAAATAATCAACGAAACAATAAAAATCATAAATCGTTTAGATAACGAAATATTACTTTTTTCGAAACGTTTGACGTACATAAGTTATTAATTTCAAATGATGTGAAAGAGCAGATTTTGTTAAAAAATGGAAAAGAAAAGAAAAGGGAAAGAAAAATCGAATAATTAATTATCTTCGCGAGGAAAGAAAATTATCGGGAGCATAGGTAGCGAAAAGGAATGTTTTGTAATTGCGTTAATAAGGAGAAGGAAAAGATTGCGGAATGGACGCGGAGCTTACTCGCGGTGGGACGGCCCAACGAAGATAAATCGGGGTAGCAGGGGAGGGCCGGCCGTGGCCTTTATGTAGTAAACTATTGGTAGTGCGAACAGCTCAATGGTGAAACGCGAGATGTAACCGTAGCTGCGTCATAAAACGGTAATGGGGCGTCGCGTTTCCTTTTCCTAGAGTCTTTCTCGAAGGAGAACGTTAAGGGCGGAAAAAGGGAGAAAGGTCGAATCGGTTCTTCGCCGAAAAACTACTCGCGAGGGATTCATCTTTGCTCGAGCCATCTTTGATCTGATCTATCGAAAGAAGAAAAAAGGAAGATCGATACGAATGGTAAAAAAAAAAAAGAAAAAAAAAAAAAGAAAAAAAAAGAGAAAGAAAAAACCGAACCAATTCTCTCTTCTTTCTTTCGTTTTCTTTTCTTTTTTTTTTTTTCTTTTTTTTTTCGTCTACAATTCCACAACTTTCTCATTTATACATTCGCAAGTAATAAAAATAAAAATGATCCAAAAATGTTGCAAATCTTCCTATCTCTTTCTCTCGATTCGATCGGTTATGTAATTTTTTTTTTTTTTTTTATTTATTTTTTTTCTTTTTGTTAACACATTATAAGAAAACAGTGGAGGTAGACGTAAAAGAAGGGTGTTAAAAAGAGGGGAGAGTAAGAGAAAAAAGAAAGGCGAAGGAGGCCATGCGAGGACCACCATAGGGCGTATTTCTTAAGGCTTAGGCCTTGAAGAGCGCGAAGCATAAAAATGCTTGCGCCCTTGCGTCTATATAAAAAGAGAGAAAAAGAAAAAGGAAAGCAGGACAAGAAGAAGGAAGGAAGAAAGGAAGGAAGGAAGGAAGGAAGAAAGAAACGAAGGAGAACCGTGGCCATGGGCGGGGTCGTTGTTGCATATGGACCACCGTGTGTACGCACGTGCTTCACAGTCTAGCACGTATATACATCAAGAGAAACTGGCGTACACGTATACGTGTGTATGCGAGAACACTTTTATTTTCACGAGCAGTAAAACAATGCGAGAATAAAGTGGCTTTGCTCCTGCTCCTTTGATTCTCTCTCTTTCTCTCTTTCTCTCTTTCTCTCTCTCTCTCTCTCTCTCACTCTCTCTCTCTAGTTCTCTTTTTCTTTCTCGTCGCTAAACGAAAAGAAGAAAATTCTCAGAAGTTGGTCAGGCAAGTAAAAATTGCCTTTGCGAGTGCGTACCCTCAAAATGTGAGGGTCAAAAGCTAATCGTTCTAGACCTAGGACCTTCCGCGTGAGTTATAAGTTTCTTCTGGGTTCTTAAGACAATGGCAGAGAGCTCGCATGTGATCCTCGAAAACGCAAGATTTATGAGGGAACTTTGTGGGATGAAGAACACGAACGAAAAACGTTCTTTTTTTTTCCAAAGAAACGAATGAAATAAGTGCTTGTTAACTTATGATTTTTCTTTCGGAAACGATCGTGATTAATAGATGGAAATATTATCGATGAGATATATCGTCGAATTTAATGTATTTCTCTTTTTAGGGATATGCTGCCACTAAATTGTCAAAGCACAACGAACAGTACAATAAGTAATTCGGTGAGCAACGGAGGCAATATGCAATCATTGCAGAGTATCGATTCGGACAGTCCGAATTTAGCGATGTCACCTTTATCAACGATGGGTATGTCGCCAGCAGCAATGAATCCATGTAGTCCAATGGGTATGAGTCCTATGGGGCCTCATCATCATGGATACGCGACTCCTGTAACGCCGTCCTCCGTACACACGGCTCATCCACACAATGGTGGTTTAAGTCCGATGAACGACGTTAAAGCGTTATGCTATGGTCGTAGTGTTTACGACAGCGGTGAGTTCAAGTTTTGTAATTAAAAAATATTTATTTATTTTTGAATAATTTTTAAAAGAATTTCCGTGATCATCCTTCCTCGAAATTTCTTCAGGTAAAGACGTCGAACAGAGTTCGGTTTATTATCCCAGTCATACCAGTATGCATCATCAATATTATCAACAAACCCATCATCAAATGATGTCCGGTTCTCATCATCATCATCATCATCAGCAAGGCATGCCAACGGGCTACGAAATTATGTTACCTCCGCCGCAACATTCCATGTGACCAACGGATTACGATGGCGAACGAAACGAGCAAGGTCATCACGGACCGAATGACGATTCCTTGGCTCGTATTCACGCCTTTGCCTGATTTTTCGTGTCCCAAAGTTTTTCCATTGGTGTATCATCATCATCATCATCATCATCATCATCATCATCATCATCCTCATCATCGTCGTCATCATTATCATCATCATCATCATTGTGTAATATCGATGCTAACGAAAGGACAAATTTTCTTCGATCGTCGATTTTCGTCACGTGGGGAAAAAAAAAAAAAGAAAAAATCATTCATACCGACGACAGACAATACACACATTTGAGATATTTTTTTAACTCGCTATCCGTAACAAACGGCGGATCAACTATCGTTCTTAATACTGACGATAAAAAAAAAAAAAAAAAAGGAAAAAGAAAAGGAGAAGAGAAAAAAAGGAGAAAAAAAGGAGAAAAAAAAATCGAAAAAAGAAAAGAAAAAAAAAGGAAAAAAAAAAAAACAAAAAAGAAAAAAAAGGAACAAGAAGAAATTAAAGAACGATTCGACTCGTCACTTAAAAACTGTGATTACCAAATCGGTGCGGTACCAACCAATTTCTTCGAATTGAAGGGCCTAAACGTATCTTATAATAAATTAAATAGCGATCGGTGCATTGAAAATGCATTTAAATTGTGCAAAAGAACATCGGCCATCTTTGCAAGGAACGTGAAATAAATGATTTAACCAATGGGAGACCGAGGCAATATCCATTAAATATCAGGGAGGAGCTCGAAAACTGGTTTTACCCGTGCGCGCACGCACGTATGCACATACATACAATGCACACACCATACACACACACACGCACGCACGCATACACATACCACACAATTCTTTAATTTACTTTCGAGATATCATGGCGTGTATTAGAAAAATCCTGCTGTGTAAGTAAATTTTAACGAATGACGGATATGATTCGATAGCCGTAATACTTTGATGAATTTTTAAAAATACTTCTCGTCGAATTTTTTTCTTAAATAGAGTATTCTATGTCACATCGAGTTAGTACATACATACTTAATGAACTATATCATCGAAGTGATAGAAAAATTAAAATCAATTACGATTATAACGGACAACAAGAAAAAAAAAAGTAAGTAAATAAATAAATAAATAAATAAAAGAATAAATAAATAAATAAACTAGTCGAATTTTATGAAATTCGTGTAGTAATGTCCATAACGCGAAGCGTACGTTAAAAAAAAAAAAAGAAAAAAAAGAAAAAAAAAGGCGTTTAGATTTCAAAAAAATCAACAACGATCCATAACAATTTATTGACAGAATAAAAACGTTTAACGTTTTTTTAATGATATTTAACGATATATTTTCGACATAGTCCGCACAATATCTTTTACGTTTTATAAATATCAATTTATCTATCATGTATCTCTGTACTACCTTGCTTTAAACGGATTAAATTAAAATTGCATAAATATATATATATATATATATATACATATATATATACACATATAGATGTATGTATGTATGTATGTATGAATCGACTAAAAAGAAATATATTTATGTTGAACTTACAAATACGATTCCGACGTAACACGCTGTAGCAGTGTGTGGAAATAAGTATGATGATCATCGAAATTACTGTTAAAGACGAACTTCTTTTATTTTCCAATATTCCTATGTATATAAAAAAAAAGCATATATAATATTCTAATGATAATGTATGTAATGTATATAATGAGAGAAAGTATCTGTGTATTCCCCAAAATTAGTGATTTTTAATAAATAAAATGTAATTCGTACTGAGAGATCTTCTCAGAATTAAATCAAAGAAAAAAAATATGTATTATTTCTTATCTTTGTAGGATAGTCGATCGAACACATAAAAAAAAAGAAAGAGTTACAAAAGGAAATAACCTTAAGTCAATTTTATAAAGTACGCGTTTAGAAAATATTAAAAACCATTGATTACTTATACTTACCGTATGTATTAAAATGCATACAGATAAGTTTCTCTTTTGCAAAATAACAAGGTAAACGAAAAAAATAAATCTATATAAATCCAGAGAAAATTACTCGCTTTAAACACTATATGATCGACTTTATTATTACCTTCGTAATAAACTTCGTCATGATAGAATCTAACGTTCTAATTGGTCAATAGTTAAAATCCTTCGTTTCTATTGGCTGACCATATTAAATCGTGATTGGACAATTTCAAAAAAATTAATCATTAAAATTTAAAATAATTCCTTGCCATACACACGTAAATGACAATAATATATATATATATATTATTATTATTATTATTATTATTATTCTATTGACATAATAATAAAATGTATTTTAATAAATATATAAAGAGATCGACGTTATTCATATAAATTTCAATGAAGGTTATATACGAGGAATATTTTATAATGTATATTTTATTATTATTATCAGATTAAGTAGCTTTGTTGTTAATAATTGTTGAGAAAAATATAAATTTTTTTTTTTATAAATGAAGAATCCAAAAAATTAGTGCCATTTCATAAGCACGGCGCTGTCAAGAACATACCAGTAAACATGGTCATGTGATGCAAAGGCCGAGTTATTTATAGAATACTTTGTAGCAAGTATAGGTTGGCAAGATATATAAATGTAATGTCTGCAATTGCACTTTATAAGCATTATATAGATAGAATTCAGTGTGATTGGACCGGATTAGAATTATAATATGTCATATTTATTAATGGATATAAAGTAGCCCCTCGGTATTGTTATAATAATGTAAATAATTGAATCTTAAATAGTGATTGTACTGTCACTGCACTTACTCTCTTCAGTGTATAAAAAGTACATGCAATAATTACGTTTCAAGTTTGTAAAATATTCTCACATTTAAATGCTAGTGATTCATTTTCTGACTATTCCCTTTTAATTGAACTGCAAGATATTTGAAAAACATCCATAGTTATGTCAAAACCTGATGCACCTAAGTTTGTGACAGCACTCTTTTCCTTTAAGGGAAAGAATAACGATGAAGTATGTGAGATCTTATTCTAGTAAAAATAATGATTTACAGATAAGTCGATCCAATACATCTCAAATTTGGATTGTAATTTACAGTTGTGCTTTAAGAAAGGTGATATAATAACGATAACTCAAACGGACGATGAAGGTTGGTGGGAGGGTACGTTGCATGATAAAACTGGATGGTTTCCATCTAATTATGTCAAAGAGCATAGAGTACCAGGTGAGATTTATATCTTATACAAGTATTATATTAAATAAATGATATGTTATATCATTCTGTTGTATCAAGATTTGATTCAATTTTTCTTATATAAGAATTTATATTATTGCAGATAATGGACTATCTTCTGTTAAAGTATCCTCAGATAAAGGTTTACCGGAATCACCTGTTCATCAGAAACTTAATCGTGATATAGTAATAAAAGACATTGTAGATTCCGAAAGAATTAATGTAGCGGAATTACAAGGCTTAGTTAATAATTTCTTGCAACCATTAGAATCATCAAATATGTAGGTCTCATGGCATCTGATTATTTTTCATCTAACATTATATTCATTATACTATTATAATCATGAATTAACAATATTATAATCCTAGATTAAAAAAGGAAGAGTACAAACAGTTATTAGGTAATATACACGAAGTTTTGGAAATGCATCAACGTCTTCTTACAAATTTGGAAGCTACCGTTCTACAAGGTGTAGCTGGTAGAATAGGAAATTTGTTTTTAACTCTTGCTCCAAGATTAAAATCTATTCATACCGCATATTGTAATAATCATCCACAAGCGGTCTGCATTCTTGATAGATACAGGTAAAAAATATATTGCATAGTATTCATGTTATTTCCCCCTCTCTCTCTCTTCTCTCTCTCTCTCTCTATTAGAGAAATAGTTTCTATTGGAGAAATTACAAGAAGTACTGTTACAGAGACGAATTAAATGAATTTATGGAAGATAGCGGTGCAATTTCTCCAGGTATATTAGTTTTAACGACGGGTCTTAGTAAACCATTTAGAAGATTAGACAAATACTCTGCTATGCTACAAGAATTAGAAAGGTACACGGAAAAAAATCATTCCGATAGAGGAGACACGCAACGAAGTATAGCGGTTTATAGGGAAATAGCGGTAAAATTGATATTTGTCATAAAATTTGATCTAACATAACGTATGAAAGATGCTTATTATTATCAAACGTTAATAGGATTCTTGTTCTTCGATACGTAAACAACGTGAATTAGCACTACAGGTATTAACTAGTGGCATTAAAGGTTGGGAAGGTGAAGAATTAAGTTCCCTTGGTGAAATACTTCACGTTGGATCTGTGACTCTAGCGACAGGTGTAGATAGAAGAGACAGATATTTCGTTCTCTTTCCCTCTACGTTATTAGTATTGAGTACCAGTCCAAGAATGAGTTCTTTTATTTATGAGGTATACTATCATTTCAAAATTGTCTAAAGCATATTACTTTTTATATATGAATTTGTCCATGTAAATTTAACTATTTCCTAGGGGAAACTCCCATTGACAGGCATTAATGTTACAGCAACAGAGGACACTGATGAAATAAGGAATGCTTTTGAAATAACGGGTATAGTCAATTCTATGATTATTTAAATTTTTACAAATCAAATATTATCTATATCATTTCTTTTTCGTAGGACCAATGATTGAAAATATAACGGTATTGTGTGCAAGTAAAGAAGAGAGGCAACGTTGGATTGAGCTTCTAGTCCAAGAACAGGGTACCAATGTATTGAAATCACCAACAATGCCTCGAGTGAGTTATAATCATCCTCCGTATACGCGGCTCTCGAGGTACTTTGCAAGGCTCGTGAGGAAAAAAATCATAGAAGTTGAATTAATGAAAAAGTTACTTTATATTCAATATGTCTTAAAGCCAGATTTAAGTAACGTAAAGATGCGCAGATGTAATGTAACGTATACTATTTTTCCTAACAAAAGTAGCGAATGTATGTCCGATTGTGAAACGATTATCGACAATGAAAATAGTCAAGATCCGCCAAAAATATTACGTAAATCTACTTTAACGCTCGATGTCAGATACGAGGTTGGAAATACCGATCTTCGTACCTATGGTATAGAAAGTAATTCTCTCACGAACTTTGCATCGAGGGCCGCTTACGGGGATCGTTCTACGTTCGAAACCAGCAAGAGTTTACCTGCTGGCCGTACAACGAGCCACGTCCTGCCAAATATATTACTTTCTACAAGTAATTCTGCAGTGCCAATTTTACTACCGCGAACACACGATCATTATCGAGAAAATTTAGACATACCACGCGAATATATGCCTTGCGGTGGTACAATAAAATGTTGGGACGTTGTCGAGCTTTATCCAAAAATACCAGACATCTCAAAACTCAGTGTTCAAGATTCTGTAACACACGTAAACAGAGCTGATAATGGAAATCTAAGAAATGATCAACATTTATGTCCTACTACCAGTTTGCACTCATCAGATTCTGGAATGGCTGAAAGTTATCACTTAAACTCAACAGAGCTTAATTCCTGTTACAAATCTCAAAGATGCAGTCATAGTAAATATATAGATCCAATAAGAACGTCTCATAGTGAAAGCGAAATTGATGAAAATAAATTTGAACATCAATGCATTTGTACTTCCCCGTTTGGCTCTACACCCAGAGATAGCGAACGTTCATTCCCTTCGTCAGAGAATATTAATAAGATGTCGCATTCGGTAAAGCAGCCTTCCTCCAGCTCTATTAAAAAAGATGTAAAAGACGCATTTGATAATATGAAAGAAGAAACAGAGAAAAACATTGTGTTTCTTACTACAAAAGATTATGAAAATATTAAGCACAAAAGGTTTACAGAACCAATTCCACATTTACACCAAAGTAATCTTAAAAAAAAGGGAAAACGAATGGTCCGTCCAGTACAACCAACTATTGAAGAACAACCTGAACAAACTGGTCAAGTTTATAGATCAGGATTATATGCTCATTGGTGGCTCAAGAAAACAATTCCATTGTCAGGATGCACGGAACGAGGCAAGCTTCCATGGCATGGCTGTTTTTTTTTTTCTTTTTTCTTCTCAATTGGATTGATTTCCTTTCATTGATTTCACCACTAATAATCATTTATCATCAATGATTTTATGCTTCTATTTCACAGCCATGTTGTGTGAAGAATGCTTTTGCTTTGCTAACATAACTATTCATAAAATACATATAACCGGGAAAGAACACGAATCACGTAGAAATTTATATTATTATTTATCCTTTTCACGTTCGTATAACGAATATGCATTGTGCTCACTTTCTTTTTTAGTTTAGTCAAGTTCTTTTTTCTTTTTGTAGGTAGGGCGTGTGCTCCGAATGCTTTTTATAATTCATTATAGATACAAAAAAAAAAAGAAATTTCATGCGTTACTATTATTAATGTTTATAAAAAATTATTTTATATAGATGAACAGTCAGATGAGCGGGAAACGCCAGCGGTCGGCAGCGGATCATTGTTTATCTCCAGGGATTAAGACTCCTTGGAGTATCGCTTCGTTACGTCCAGCCCCACCTTTATATACACTCAAGACATTTGGTAAGATCGCAACGCGTATATAACTTTTCTTCATTTCGTAAATATATATATATATATATATATATATCTGTCAGTCATTGCATCTGTTGTACAAGAGAAATTTATACGATCAATGAACTCGAAGAGAATAGAGACTCTGTTTTTCACTATAGTGTTTTGTTCTTAACAGATGAACGTCAATTTGAAGAAGATGCAATTATTCTAAAAATAATAGAAAGTTACTGTCTTTCTGTCAACAGTAGATTTACCATGAATTCTAATGAATCTAATTGTAAGTACATAACTTTTTTGTAGATGTGTATATATTACATATTTATTATGATAAATTTTATATCTTAGCTATGATGGATATTGAATGGCAAAGAACGCGCGATGCATCATCGATGCACAAGAGAGGTGTAAATTGGGATACTCGTGCTGATCGGTATATTCTTTTAATCTATCTTTAATATATTACTTATGAATTATCTGTTTAATTCGAATATTGTATTGTTCAGGTCATTATCGGAAACTGTGAAAACCTTAAAAAATCAAATGACAGATTTACAGTCACAAATGTCATTACTTACTAAACAATTAGATGAAGAAAGAAGATCTCGCCTTTCATTAGCTGCTACTGTAAAACGCAGTATGGCTGCTATGGATAGTTCCATATCTTAAAATTTATAATTAACATTCAGGAAATAAATTCGTCAAATTTGAATTTAATTCATGCTACTCGCATGCATCTTAACGCGCAAAAGGATGCATCGTACTTGGAATGTTTTCAGATATCTTTAAGTTCATAACATAGATTACGGTAACGTTAAGATAGTAAAATGTTATTTATCTATTTTTATAGTAACTCGTTCATTCATAAAATAAATGAAGGTTTCATCATGTGCCTATTTTACATACATTGTAAATTATATCATATTCTCAAATTAGTGTCTTATACTACATCTTGTTAATAACAGCTGATTTGAAAGATGAAATATAAAAAGAAAATTAAAGATAAAATAAAAAATAAAAAATTAATTTATTGTTATATTTTATATGATACATGACGATACCTTCTAAATATAATTATTGTTATGTTCAGAACATGTATTTATAAATATATATTTCTTTAAATTAGTTTTTATCTTGGTTTATTTTTTATGCGTTCCAGTTCATTTACTCTACTACGAGCATGTTCTAACCTATGCCACGCCATTTGCAAAACCTTTTGACTCGCGTATCCAGAACCTTCGTGTGGTTGACCTGTTGAATAAAAAATTTAATTAAAAAAATAATTATAAACATGAAATAATACAGATTTCTTTTCAGAGTCAGATTTCTCAGTACGGACATTATCAATATTTAGAGGTTATAAGTCTTAGTATTTACGAACCTGTCGAAACTTGTGTAAGATAATTGATTTGTTCGCTCAATTTTGATTCCACATGGCCTAAAGTTTTCAAAAATTGATGAGTTTGGGCTTCTGCTTGCTTTAAACTAGACTTTTCCTTACTTAATTCCATAAACGCTTGCCCTATAATGATACACGAATATTCGTATAACCTTACAAAATGTATCTAACGACAGTACAAAATATTAATATTACTGTTTTAAATATACCTGCACTTTGTAAACAAACAATGATATCTTTTTCAATAGTTTCTAAGATTTGGATCCTCTCCATAGGTGGAGTCATTTTTACGAATTTTGTATTATATTTTATAATATGTACAAAAAGTACTTAATTAAAGTATTATAATTACGATGAACAGCTTGAGAGATAACTGCGTATGAGAGAAGCTTTTTCGAAAATGAACGTAATAGACGACAAAACGTATGTTATAAACTTCGAAGAATAAAGTCGACTGAACGTAAACACATGTTATACATATGCCGTACTAAAGCTGCGATATTGCGAACTTCAGATTCATCGATGAGCGAGCTGCGCAGTAATCCTATTGCGCATACATATCCCTTCCATTTTCATGGTAGGAGTAAGGCGGCCATTCAAATTTGTGACGATATTATTTCACAATAGTTTTTAATGTATTTGATAATTAGCATAATGACACGTAAAATAATTAACTTGTCGTATTAATTAATTATGTTGTTGAATTGTAACGAGATCAGCATGGATTTCATTTTAATGAATATTACGCTACTTTTTATTTCTTCGAAAGACGACGAAGTCATGAACGATTTTATTGTCATTATTATAATATCTCAATCTTTAGCAGTTCAACGACTGAACAGTACAGTTTTGTTTGTGAAAAAAGAAAAGATATCTAAAAAGATATATGTACTTTGATTTCTCACGATTCATTCAGTAAATATTGTCTCTCGTGAATCGTAAAATGATCACCATTTTTTTAGGTGCGTTGAACAATTTTGATAAGTAATATTTCTTTCTTTTTATTTAGTATAAAAGTAATATTTCTTTTCTATTATTTTACTTTAAGAATTACGTATATATAAGTAGATATTAGTTTTTTATTTTTATGATAAAGTCAATGCAGATAATGTCAAAACTAAATTAATTCTATAAATACAAGTTATTCAGCATGAATAAAAAAGAACTGATAAAGCCACTTAACCGATAATTATTTTTTCATCATTAATGAATTCATATTTAGGAATATTAAGATTAATAGGTGCTGGTCCTTTTCGTATACGTCCGGCCGCATCATAATGCGATCCGTGACAAGGACAAAAGAAACCTCCTGGAATAATACCAGAATTAGGAATAGGTATGCATCCTAAATGAGTGCAAATTCCAATGACAATTAACCATTCGGGTTTTTTCACTCTTTCGTCATCCGTTTGAGGATCTCTCAAAATTGATATATCGGCTGCTTTTTCTTGCTCAATAATATTTTGTGCTCTAACAGCAATAAAAAGTTATATTTCATATCCTCTTTCATATACTTTTAATTCTATGTATATATATATATAATAATAAATTACCTATGGTAAAGAAAAACTGGTTTTCCTCGCCATTTAACAATTCCAACTTTCCCTTCTGGTATATTAGTCAATGTGGCTTCTGTTTGAGCCGTAGCCAGTACATCACGAGATGGTGCCAAATACATTATATAATGCAACATATGAGACTTAAGAACATACATACAAGTTACTCCAGCAACTATAAAATATAAATAATATATATATTTATATTTTAAGTATTATCCAGTATGAGAGAATGGATGTATAATGAAATGTACCAAAAGATACAGCATAATTTAAACATTTTCGATTTTCATTTGAATCAAGCGGTTTTTTATTTGGCTTTAATATCCCTTCAAAATCTGGTAATGGAATGTCAGAATGGGCATATCTAACTAAAGAAAAGAAAAAGACAAAAAATCATTTAGATCAAGGATATTATTAGGATATTATTTCTTTTACTTACTTGGATCACAACTTACAAATGATGCTGGAAAATATCTTTTCTTTCTTGCGATTTTTGAAGTTAATTCTATAATCGTATTTGCGAATATCATTGTCGTTTTCCACATTTTTTATATTTATGAGGAAAAATTCCAAATAATTTTATCAGGTTAAGTTATCCTGTATTTCGAATGTTTCCATTTCAATTGTTTTAGGATTATCATTATTACGAGAGATGACATTATGATATTCCATGGTTTATAAGCTCTTTACTATCTTAACTTCGTAATGTATGTGACTTCAGTGACAGATATGGCATAAACAAAACATGAACTACAAGGAAAACACTGTTCTCATTATGCGCCTGTTGCATCGATATATTAGGATTATGTAGGTTATACCCCTTGTATAACCTTCACATATAATTTAATAATCGAATTACCGCGTGACGTAAGAAACTTTTGTATGTCGCAAAAATAATAGTACATTTGACAAAAGCAAATGAAAAGAAATATGCCAGATTATTACTACTTGTGGATAATTATTCTCTTAAAATCAATAGAAATATAGTGTCAAAAAGATTCACTTTGTGACATATTTTTCCATGAAAATGAGCTTTTTCAAAAAAAAAAAAAAAAAAAAAAAAAAAAAAAAAAAAAAAAAAAAAAAAAAAAAAAAAAAAACTGTGTCATCGCTTGAACCTTCATCTTTAAAATGAGACCTTGTTCGTCGAAATCAATCGAGAAATACCGCATGTACTCATTGTTGGCGTAAACCATTATAAAATCATGGGTAATGAAGAATTTTGAAACTTGAGTGATATTTTTAAGAATCTACTTCATATGGTTTAAATAACAAGATGAATATTTTTGTAACATGTAGAATTATATTTTATATACCCCTCACATAATATACATACATCAAGATATCACCGTTTATGTTGCAAAAATATTTTATATTTTCTCATAATAATAATATGAAAAAATTTTAATATAAATGTATTTTGGTATTAACTGAAAATAGAAAACAATCTCTTTATGGAAATTTTTGAAATAGTTGCTACAAGAAACGTGCTAGTAGGAATGCTATTACGATCGAAAACTAATAGGAGATGATATTGCTTGAAGCAGCAGTATCATTTATTAGATTACAGAGTTATCCCTGCTATTATCTCTGGAATAAATACCGAATGTAATTGGATTTGTTAACGTTCCGTTCGAAGACATATACACGTGTTTGTGATCACCGAATTCATATTCTTTAAACGACCAGTCATGTAACGGCAACAACGTTTGGCCCAAAGTATTTGGCATAATCAAAGAATACTTCGACTTGTCGAATTTTCCTGTTATGCTGATTTTGTTGAAAATTGTTCCGGACTCGATAACAGATCCACAAGATTGCAAGGTATCGTCGGAACATTGTATTACTGAGCAGAGTCGCACACCCATCGAACGTATATTCGCAATAACGCGAATCCCATTGAAAACAACCAATCGGTATCGTACCTTCTTATCTAACTTAATCGTTTCAATCGTGAAACGACAACAGTGATTATTATGACACAAGATCTTCGTAACATCGCCCTCCAATATTTCTGTCTGATATGAAGTAACATTTTCACGTAATAATATCATGGAGTCTTTCATTACTTCACGTTTTCTCCTTAGTTCATTGTGAACATGTTCGCTCACTTTTGACTTTGCGTATGCGATTTCGGGATGTTCTTTGCCTATGATATTCTGATGTGATAAAATCCTATTCGGCATCTTAGGAACTTCTCCGACTAATAATTTGGTACCTCGATTTTTTAATATTATGGCTTTGCTTATCCCATTACGACCTAAATAAAATTTTTCTTTGTTACAATATTTATTAACACGTTCTCATTCGATGATTTTACGTTATTTCGATTAATATCTTAACATTAAGTTGACTTATAATTCGATTTATGCTAAGTCATTATGAATTAAATGATCGTACCTAAATAAATTCCGCTGCCGGTAGTACCCCTTATGGGATTATTGTATCCAGCTGCCAAAAAATTTACATTCTCCGAGAACGCCCAACCTGATTGTGTCTGAATGGCTACAGTAAATGAATTTACATCGTCATTATACAGTTAGAATAAAGTGAGAGAAGGGGAGGAAGAGAGAGAACATTTATAATTAGTTTTACTTAGATTTTGATTTGACTTACAAGTTAAAAATGGAGTCTCAGAGAACCATGCCGTTGTAAAAATAATATCGGTAACTACACGATTTCTTGTTAAAATCAAGGAAGGGTTTGCGAATAGAATATCGAAACAAATGAAAGTTCCGAATTTAACACCAAAATCCGTATCGAATGTTACCACATCTGGACGTGCCGGACTATCAAACCCAGGTTCTACAAAAAGATTTACTTTGCGGTATCTACAAATCAGGAACATCGTATTAATTGAAAATATCATTTATCTCTTCGTTCGACGTAAAAAACATTATCATTCGAATATTTTACTTTGCTATTATCATGCCACTGCGATCGAATACAACGTTAGTGTTATAATAAAATACTTTATCTTCTGGACAATTATTGCCCGTACAATGTTCTTTTTCGGCAATATTAATGACAGTGTATATTTTATTATTTCTAGCGGCGCATGATATGTTCTTTAGTACCTGCAAAAAAAAAAGAAAAAAAAAAAAAAAAGGATAATGTATTATCAAAAATTATCATATATAATTAATGTTAGCATTTACTATCATTATCGATTAATTATCACTATCAGTTTTCGTAACTTTGTATATTATGTAATATTGATTCATATGTTTCAAAATAATTATAATTTTTATTATTACTATTATAAATATCTTATCAAAGTTCACGAATATTTTTCGTGAAAGATTTCAAATTTTAAACACATTAAAAATATTCGTGTATTACATATATGTACGCAAAGAGAAATCTAAATATATATTCAAGATAAAATTTCGATCGGACTTGAATACTTTGCAATACTTATTTATTTAATCGACATGATTTATTTATTATATAAATATAAAAAAATGGAGGGCAGATTATTTCAATTGATAAATATTGAAGATAAGAAGAAGAATGGAGTTTACCTCGCTAACGCCATTCAGATTTCTAGTGCAAGGTGTATATTCCGCTTCAGCCGAGGGTATCACCGTTGTCCACGAGTCCAACTCACTTCTCTCTGGAAATTCATAACCAGTTATACCATTCTCGGGAAAAACAACGATGTCGGCGTTCTGAAAAAAAAAGAAAAGAAAAAGAAAAGAAAAAAAATGAAACAAAAAATACAAAAGAAATAGTCGTACGTTACATTAGTAACTTTGTTTATAAATTTCTTTGTCTTAGAATTTCAACGTATCGATTTCTGAGACTTTATTACATATCGCTAGTAAGATAGATGTACATATACACTTGCTCAAAAGTTATTTTTTGTCATCAATCTTCTTATGTAGGACAAAGTTTTTTCTAATAAGGTTCTTTATTTCTTTATTCGAATAAATTCGTGGAACGTTCGTTGAATGAAATAGGAGTGAAAGTGGAAATGAGACGATACGATGTGATTGTACGC